GGGCTGGGGATTCGAACCCGCCACCTTAGGTGTACGTGGCTGGCGCCTTAGCCGGTTGAGCTATAGGCGCCGAGCCAGCCATCTCTCTTCTATGACCCTGTTGTAGTCTAGAGCTGAGGGTTGGAGGAATTGGACTACTTTTCCTTTTATTGTGTTTTTGCATGTTTTGTTTGTCTTTTCTCTGCCTGTGCCCTTTGGAACCTAGCAAGGCCTCTGAGTCTCAGCTTCCCTCAGGGAGTGAGCATCTCTTGCCTGCATCCCATGGCTGAGCATAGTCATTGTCACAGGACAGGGCTGTGGTCTTCCTTCCCCTCTGTGCACAATGAGCCTCTCTGTCTTCAGGCCTTCCTCCTCTCCACCAGGTTCCACCATTGTTGTCAGTCTTTCCAGTGCCGGGTCTGCCTGATTTGTGGGGAGGGTTCTTATCATCTCTGTCCCTGTTTCTTCCCTAAGCTCTTCAGAATTGGAAACAACCTGTTGTTGGGAGGAAGTAGGGAAGGAGTAGGGTTGGGAGGCAGGATTTGGAATTAGACTGGATTCTGGAATCCATGATTCCCTAGCCAGATTTTAGAATCTTGCTCTGAAACTTGGGGAGAGAGGATGAAAACACAAAAGAGATTCTCAGGTTAGTTTTTACCCTAACTTATGTCAATCCTCTCTCTCCTCAGTCCACTCAAAGTGTAAGAAATTGAAGTGAAGTCTTTTCCTTGGGACCCAGGCTGTCCAGGGTAGGAGTGAATGTCAGAAACTCTGTTGGTCTGGGACTTCTGTGTTCACAGAGGCTAGCCCCAGGGAGGGAAGCCCTCAACCCCCTTGATGAAGAGGGGCCTCATTTGAGATGTTGGGGATGGCATGGGGTAGGTGGGGAACAGGTGGCTTGTGGTTTTTTTGGAAGCACTGATAAGAGAAGATGGGATAGAGTCAGCTCAGGCAGGCTCTGGAGTGTGGCAGATACACCAGCCTCCTCTGTGGGTCTGTCTGAAGAGCAGGTTCATACCAGGGCAGAAGTGCTCTTGCTCTCATTTGAGGAGAGAAATACAGACTAGCTAGAGCTAGCATCTTGCCCATGGGGAATTGCTTTCTTTTTGAATTGAGGTGAAATTTATATAACATACCGTTTCGTTTTAAAATGTACAATTCTGTGACATACAGAATTCTGTATTCTGACAGTTGTGCAACCACTACTTCACTTTCGTTTCAGAACTTTTGGGGGCCCTGTTTTTGGTTATGGGTGAGATGCACCCGTGAGGTGGCAAAGACCCTACATCTTGTTTGTGGTGTCTCCAGCACCTAGCACAGTGCCTGACAACGGCATTCATACAGATGTTTGTTGAATAATGAAACCTCTCAATCCTCTCTTCTCCACGCAGCCCCTGTGAGTTCTACAGGGCCCACCCCTTCGTGCCCATCTTCTAGATTAGGCCCCCAGGTGTGGCCGGCGTGCAGACCTGACGGCATGCTGGTCAGGCGTAAGTTCACGAGGCTGAGGTGTCTTCCGAAGCCAGACTTTGGCGGCCGGAGAGGAGACTCCCCCAAGGACCCGAGTGTGTGTTGCCACTCGCTTTCGATTTGACTTGGTCCGGGTCGCCCTTCGCGGAAGGAGCGCCCCCCGCCCTCGCCCGAGGCCCGCCCCGTCCCGCCCCTCCGCTTCCTTCCCGGCCCTTGGCACTGCGGCCGCTGGGGCAGAGGAGGCAGAGCCGGCGAGGCGGTGACAGCTGCGATGGTGAGGGCCCAGGCGGGGCTGGCCAGCTCGTCCGGTGAAGGGCAGAGGGCGAGCGTGGCGGGTGGGAGAGAGGAGTCCGAAGTCCGAGGGCGGGGGCGTCCCCTGGCCGGCGGGAGTCAGACCCGCAGGAGGTGGCGCGGCCAGGAGCGGGACGGGGGCGGACCCGCCGCTCTGCTTCGGGAGGGAAAGTGAGGCGTGCGCCCCGTCCGAGCTGCCCGGCAGAGGGAGCGGGGCTCGGCGGAGGGAGCGGGGCCCGGGTTTCCCATTCTCCTGGAGCACGGAGGTTTGGTGTTCTGGGGTCATGCTCGGGGTGGGATCCTGGCTCTCTGACCCGGCACAGTCACTTAACCTCCTTGAGCCTCCTTTTCCGTATCTGTGAAGTGGGGCCAGCAATACCTGCCATAGGTCATTGTGAGGTTAAAGGAGATACAATGGCAGAGAAGACCTGCCTGGCACTCAGAAGCCAGTGCTAAGAAGTGGTAGGTAATGTGATGACCTTTTCAGCCTTTCCCTCAGCTGTGAGGAGCCAAGCCTGGCCCAGGAGTTGGAAACCTGAGCAGACAGCGGCAGAGGCCATTCCAGCCCTCATGGCAGGCTGTTGGAGAGAAACTCCTTCCCCTGATGAAAGAGAAAGGCAGATGTTTACTGTAAAAGTTCTACTGAAGTTATCAGTGTGACACAGGCCTGACTCCCTCCCAACCTCTACCTAGTGACACGTTCCTGAGTTGAGTCACTCCCACTCCTGCTGCAGACTATGGCCTCTGTTCTCACTCAGCCATCTCCAAGCAAAGGTGTCAGGAACAGCTGGTGCCAGTTTCCCCCTTCACTGGGCTCCTGGGAAGATGGGCTGGTCAGGAAGCAGGTTTGGCACTTTAAGATTCTGTCTTGGAGAAATGGCTGAGGTGTGATGGATGTGGCCTGGTTAGGGGTCACAAGGACGCCTGAATGCCTAGACTCCTGGACAGCCTCTTCTCTGGGGAACTGGGGGCAGGAAGAGGAAGTGAGGCAGGAAGGTAGCAGTGAGATCCGAAGCCACTCCAGGAAACTGAGGGAGACTGAGAACGGACAGATACTAGAGCCCATTTGAAAGCATGAAGGACAAAGGATCAGGCAGCGTTAGGGGTTCAGCCGGCACTTAGCTTTTGGAGAGAAGAGGGAATTCTTTATTTTTTTAGAGACAAAGTCTCACTTTATTGCCCTAGTGCTGTAGCATCACAGCTCACAGCAACCTCCAACTCCTGGACTTAGGCAATTCTCTTGTCTCAGCCTCCTGAGTAGCTGGGACTACAGGTGTCCGCCACAATGCCTGGCTATTTTTTTTGTTGTTGCAGCTTGGCCAGGGCCAGGTTTGAGCCTGCTACCCTCAGTATATGGGCCAGCACCCTACCCACTGAGCCACAGGTGCCACCTGAGAGGGAATTCTTGAAATGAAATCTGAAGCCAGGATAATTTATTAGGGCTGGCTGGGCATGGTGACTTCATCTGCAACTCCTGCACTTTAAGGAGGCCAAGGTGGAAGAATCTCTTGAGTCCAGGAGTTCTAGGCTGCAGTGAGCTATAATCGTGCCACAGCACTCTAGCCTGGATGACATAGTAAGACCCTATTGCCTATATATATGTGTGTATATATATGGATTACTGGAAGACCTCGGGACTCTCACAGATACATTTGAGGCAAATAGTGGATGCAAGCCTTGGGAGGGTATATTGCTCACTCTCCTCCACTCGCCCTTCTTCTAAACTTGTCCTTCTATCTTGTCTTTTACTCTTGCCCGTTTTTCTGTCTTCAGTTCTTTCCCTTCCTTTCTCCCGTTCCCTTTCCTTACCTGATCCTTCTCTTCCCCTCTCTATGACTTATTCCATCAGCAAAGATTTCTTAAGCATTTTCTTTGTTTTGGTCATAATAACATGTATAGGGGATAGAGTAGGAACAAAGCAACCATGGTAAAGATGGAAACTGAATGAGTTATTACTTGAATTTATTCATCCTGTAGATCCAAAGAAAATGTGTGTTTTGAGCCACAGGCCTCCCTTATATGTATACAAGTTGAGTTGGTAGCACAAAATGAGTTGGTGGGTCTTTAGCAGCCAGGGAAAGCACTGACATCTAATTTAGCACAGGGGTTTTACTTTTACCTGCATCTAATTTAGCGCAGAGGTTAAGAATGTGATGTCTGGAGTCTAGGTTTGGCTCCACTCCCAGATCTTCTACTCACTGGCTCTGGCTCTGTGATCTTGGACAGGAGATTTAATACCTCTGGGCCAAAGTTTCCTATAAAACTGGGATAATAGTACTGTCTTCAGTGGGTTGTTGTGAAGATTAAATGACATAGACTGACTGGACAGCTAGTAGCATTAGAGCTTAGCTCAGAGTAGGTATCTACTGGATGGCGGCTGTTATTCTTGCTCAAGATGCAAAATTTTCTCAACAGCCCACAGGGATTGATAAACATAAACCAGATGCCAGTTACCACGGCCTATGCAAAGTTCTGTGTTTAGATTAGAAACCACTAAGTGGGCTCGGCGCCTATAGCTCAACCGGCTAAGGCGCCAGCCACGTACACCTAAGGTGGCGGGTTCAAATCCCCAGCCCGGAC